AGAGAGAGAGAGAGAGAGAGAGAGAGAGAGAGAGAGAGAGAGAGAGAGAGAGAGAGACCTGCTTGCTGTTGTTGTGCATGGCGATAGCTGCCGAGCAAAGGAGAAACGTTTTGCATATAAGTTCGTGTTTACAAAATGTTTTGAAGTGTTGCTCGCATAGTAATGAATCCGCCTTGTGTCATGTAAAGGTGCATGCATGTTCAAAGGAACCAAGCGGGTATGAGCAATGGATGATTGCATTTGCTTTTTCCATTGTTGTGGCCCCGTCCTGCCCGCGGATATCCCCTGTTCAAATACAAGCACGCACCTGGCCCGTGTGGATGAACAGTACACATCTGACTGGTAGTAACAGGTCATGAGATTGTGATGGCGTCAGATGAATAAAATATGGTTAGGGACGGTCCCCCTTTTTGAGTAAACAATGAAAAGGGGTTTAAACTTTAAAGGGCTGGCAACTCCATATTGGGGGTTTTAGGTTACATGAGTGCATTGGGTCCCTACCCATTTTCGCGTTTACCGAATCCAACAGATGAAGTACATGGGGGTTCTCATTCTCCGGGCCAGGTTCTCTCCTTTACGGTTTTCTTTTTTTTTTGGGGGGGGGGGAGAGGGGGGAGGAGCCCAGCCCACATAGGATCACCCACATACCTCATGCACTACCCAGCTCACTTAGCATCACCCAATTACTCTGCATTGCACCACACAGCCCCCATGATGATATCCAGCCCATAGGTTGACCCACCCCATATGGTACCTTGCAGCGAGCAGGGTACCTACCACTCAACCCACAGAGTATCACCCCACCCCAGAAAAGATCACCTAGCAGTACCGCGGTGCGGTCTTTGTTTTTGTACTTTGTGAGAGTCGTGTGTGTGTTCTTTTTCAAAGAGAGAGAGAGAGAGAGAGAGAGAGAGAGAGAGAGAGAGAGAGAGAGAGAGAGAGAGAGAGAGAGAGAGAGAGGAGGAGGATTTTGGGCTGCTGTCGTGGGAGTGGGAGAGGGGGGCGGAAGGCGTGAGATGGTGTCGGGTGTAAACCCCTCACAAGCCATTGCGGATGGTTTAGAGAGAGAGAGAGAGAGAGAGAGAGAGAGAGAGAGAGAGAGAGAGAGAGAGAGAGAGAGAGAGAGAGAGAGAGAGAGAGAAGGATTTTGGGCTGCTGTCGTGGGAGTGGGAGAGGGGGGCGGAAGGTGTGAGATGGTGTCGGGTGTAAACCCCTCACAAGCCATTGCGGATGATTTTCAGTACTTTGGTTGAATTGTCGGACAGTATCTGCATTGGCACTCTTTGTGACTGTGCATGTGCAGACCTGTACTCATTTCCTGTAGTTGGCTCCTCTCAGCCGTGTGCTTAGTTCGCAGCCAGGAGGCTGCGCTTGTGTGGGTTCCATTTTCGTCGTTTCATTTCTTTCAATTTCGGTAAGATCATGCAGTACAACTTCGCTAGGACGGGTTCGTTTGGGGCTGCGACAGCAGAAAATAGGGTCGGGTCGTAGTTGTCCCTAAGACCGGTCGTGGGGCAGGTTATCTTGTCAAGGTCGTTGCAATTTAGTATAGGACGCGGTCCATTGTTTCCCTTTTGAGGGATATAGTTTTTTCCCGTTGCAAACTGGGGGCGGGCGATATGGGTCTGGACAGGCGATTTGGGTATGGGTCGTTTGGCTTGTGTGTTTTCTCTCTTCTACTGCATCTTCCCAGAAATACTGTATAGATGCATATTCTGCTGTTTACTACGCCCAAGTAACGAAATCTAGAACGGACTGCCCTGCCTCGTTGGCATGGCTTACTAAGAAAAGAAAAGAAAAGAAAAGAAAAGAAAAGAAAAGAAAAGAAAAGAAAAGAAAAGAAAAGAAGAGAAAAGAAAAAAAAAGAAAAAAGAAAAGAAAAAAAAAGAAAAAAGAAAAGAAAAAACGTATTGACTTTTGGAAAAAAGAAGAAGAAGAAACACACTTACCTTTGCCCCGAGAGCTGTGGAGATCAAGGGCCTTGCTCCACTACTGACCAAATGTGCAACATGAGCATGAATCTTCTGGTAGAACACAGGTAGATACACTGCTAGTAGTTTAGAGATTGAAGAAAAGAAAAAAAAAGAAAAAAGAAAAGAAAAAACGTATTGACTTTTGGAAAAAACAAGAAGAAGAAACACACTTACCTTTGCCCCGAGAGCTGTGGAGATCAAGGGCCTTGCTCCACTACTGACCAAATGTGCAACATGAGCATGAATCTTCTGGTAGAACACAGGTAGATACACTGCTAGTAGTTTAGAGATTGAACTGCCCTTTTGCCCTGGCCGCGTGTGGGGTGGTACAGCCCTCAGTAGCTTGCTATTCGTTTTTCACAAATTTTCAGTGTTTTTTTTATTTTTTTTTATTTTTTTTTATTTTTATTTTTTTTATTTCCTGCGAGAGAAGAATCTGGGCTCCATCCAGCGTCCTAGCTCAATTGGTTAGGCACGCAAGTGGCATTCAGGAGATTGAGGGTTCAATCCCCACGGCCGCCTGTGGCACTCTTGGTGCCATCCAACTGAGATAGTGAGCTATATTGGTTAGGCACGCAAGTGACATTCAGGAGATTGAGGGTTCAATCCCCACGGCCGCCTCTGGCACTCTTGGTGCCATCCAACTGGGATAGTGAGCTGGATGCTCCCAGTCGGTATAAGGTCTTCAGCCAACACGGATGCGAGTGCACGTGTGAGTGGGTTGCGTGTGGTGTGTGGGAGAGTGTTGGCTTTGGACACTACCATACAGAAGGCTGTCCATCCCCCAGTTCATAACACCTTTGCCAAGCTTACTGTCTAGAACATAAAGCATGCTACCCGAATGGCTGCGTCCCCGAGTTTGACGCGGTATAACAGTTGAGTCTCACATACTTCCTGATTGAAGTATTTGGACATAAACTCAACCGGTCTGTGTCCATTCTCATGGTTCCATTGCAGTACAGCCCCAATCCCATGCTGACTTTGAACGGTAGGGAAGGGTCTGCAAGCTTTGAGACTGGGTAGTGAGTCAGTGCATACTTGTTAAATGCAGACTCACAATTTCTATCCTACAACCATATGGCTTCCTGCTTGAAGAGTTTCTTGAGTGGTGTAGCTACAGTTGAGCCAACGTAAAGTTTCTTGTGTGGTGTAGCTACGATCGATCGTAACTTGGAAGTTTGTCGAGCTACGTTATAACTTCTTAGATTTAACTTTCCACAGTTGCTAACCAATCCAAGGAAGATATCAACTCGTCAAGAGTCTTTGGTTGTGGCCAATCTCTAAGTGCAACGGCCGTCTGTCCTTCAGGCCACAAACTTCCCTCGCTGACTACATGTGCAATATACAAAACTTAAGATTTTGCAAACTCGAGACTATTTTGTGTCGATCCTAACTTGTGTGCCTTTGATCATTTGTTCTAGAACAACTCATGGGCATTACTTATGCTCATCCAGTGTGTCTTATTGAATGTTGGGATGTCCTCAAGGTAGATTACTACAGGCTTGTCCTTCCCGAGAATGGTTGGACGAATTCCTTGAATAAAAAGTGTCTCGGAAAATGGTTGTAGTGGGAGGAGATGGCCATGTACTCAGAAGCTCCATGAAGGAATGCAATTGCAGTCATTCCCGCACCTTTAGGTGTGAATCTCTCGTTGTTCCTGCACCTTCAGGGGCGAATCTCTCGTCATTCCCACACCTTTAGGCGCGAAGCTGTCGTCGTTCCGACAACTTTAGGCGCGAATCTCTCGTCGTTCCCACACCTTTAGGTGCGAAGCTCTTGTCATTCCCCCCCGCACCTTTAGGCCGAGTCGCTTGTCATTCCCGCACCTTTAGGCGCGAAGCTCTCGTCATTCCTGCACCTTTAGGCGTGAATCTTTCGTCATTCCCACACCTTTAGGCACTAATCTCTCGCACCTTTAGGCGTGAATCTCTCGTCATGTCCGACCTTTAGGCACGAATCTCTCGCCGAAGGCCACAAATAAATACAGGGAATTAGTGGGCATGTTCTCAAAGCAAAGAGAACGTGCTAACGTGTCTTGCCTTTTAGGCACGAATCTCTCGCCGAATGCCACAAATAAATACAGGGAATTAGTGGGCATGTTCTCAAAGCGAAGAGAACGTGCTAACGCGCCTTGCTCGCCTTCGGTCTACGAATGTTGTTAAGGTAGCCAGTCAAGGCTTAACTGGCAATGAGATAGCGATGAAGTCAAATGACCAGACCAGAAATGAGAAGAAGAGTGGATGGAGATGAATATCTCAAGATTCCAATTAATTGTTGCAATGTGTCGTCGTCGCTCCTCCCTCTCATCCCCCACACTCTTCTCCTACTGATGTGCCACCTCAGCAAGCTAAGAACACCGCGATCAATTAGCTGTGCTATCTCCCCTTCTTACCACACTTCAGGCAGAGCCGTTTATCCGTTCGTCTTGGCCACTCTTCAAGGCGCTGAATCTGAAATTTAACATGTGCTCTGCATCCAGCTGGTGGGGTTGATTGTTAGTGTTCGGCGGTGGGGGACTGTGCAACTTCGTGCTTTTCCCTGAATTTCCTGGTGCTTTTAGACGTAATTGTGGTCCGATACATGCAGGTGAGGACCGTCAGAGGCTGTAAATGTGGTCACACTGTCAGATGTGTTTATCGTAGAGCTAGTGCGAGTCCTCTCTCGGAGACTCCCAGGATCCCCTCCCTGTGCCAAGCACTTTTTTGTTCGCTCCTCATTTACTATTGTGTTCTGTTTTGCTCTCTTTTCTATTCTCTATGTTCTGTTCTGCTCTTATCTGTTGCTCGTGCAGGGAAAAGATGGCGGTTGTAGCGCACACATCTCGCTTTTTGATGAAGAGAGTTCTCAGCAGTTGTGCACTCGGCGCCCCCTTATCAATCTCCCGCTCCTCGTCTTCGGCCCTAGAGGTCCTTTTTGGTGGAAACAAGCTAGCAGCGGCGCAGACAAGTACAGGTATGCCTAGCGTGACTTATTATCTACGGCATTTTGTCTCACTTCCAGATGCAGTTGAAGGCCCAAGGGCAAAGATCGCCAGTCTGCATGTCAGTACTCCGTCGGTGGGTGCTGCTCCCCACTTGAGGAGGTGCGTTGAGGCGAAACCAGGTTGGCAGCTACATCAGCAGCGATTCACGGGCTCTGTGACACCTCCTCAGGACATAAGCCCAGAATTCCGTGCGGCACTTAACGCATTACTGGGCGACGATTGGGTGCATATCTCTGACGAGACGAGAGAAATGGTGGAGAAGACGCTGCGCATTAACTCGAGCGACGTTGCAGGAAAAGAGCATCTGCAGAACGCTTGGCGAGCGGCGAGGGCTGTCGAGATATTTTGTGAGAAACTTGGCGCGCTGAGAGGGGCCCTCGACGAGGTTGCAGGTGCTTCTGGAGATAAAGTGAAGAATCTTCCGGAAGATCTCGAGAACGCGTTGGAAGTTGCCACTGAGAAATTTCACAAATACGTGTCGTCATTTTCCGACGATGAACTCTGGCTGAAGAAAGCTGTCGAGCTGGCAATTGGCGGTATGTTTGTGCAGATCAAGCAACGCTGCAGCAATCTTGGTCCAGAGTGGGGGAAGGTTAGTCTCCTGGCAACGTCGGGGCTATCGGGGTCTTATATCGAGCGCCGAGCTGCCGCTGGGGCGTGAGATGGGGAGGCCTGTCCCTGCGACAGCGGGGCTATCAGGGGGTCTTAGATTGAGCGCCGAGCTGCCGCTGGGGCATGAGATGGGAAGGCCGGGCAGGAAGATCAGTACACCAAGCAACACCAACCAGGGCTGTAAGGGTTCTTGCATCGAGTGCTGAGCTGGCCTTGGGGGATGACATTGGCCAGTGGGAGGAGAGGTGGTGCAGGGAAGAGGTTGGAGGGGGGGGATACAACGCAGGGGAGAAGAGGGGGGAAGAACAACTGCCGTCGCTCAAAAGCGTTGGGGAGAGAAGGGGAGGGGCTAAGGACCTCGAAAGGCATATATATTTTGATGAAGATTCATGAAATGTAACTGTAGTAGGAGCAGATTGTTTGTAGTGACGGTTGACATTGAGGTAGGTGCGGCAGGTCAGTCCGGCAGCACAAGCAGAGGAGCAGAGGAGAATGAAAATAGGAGGAGTGTGCAATGTAGACACCTATGCTGGATAGAGGAGAAGGAAGGAGTGAAGAGAGAAGGGAAATGCCAACATCTTGGATGGAAAATGCCGTAAATCAGTTCAGAAGCACAAACACACGCCCGTTCAGTGCAAGAAGGAGAAAGGAGAGGCGGTGGAGGGTGCAAGGAGGAGCAGTGAAAAGGAGGAGGAGGGCACTGTCAAGGAGATGTTTGCGATTGCTAGAGAGCAGACAGCAGCGGTGGATCGTGTGCGCCAGCACAAGGATGAACAAAGGAGGATATCAAGTGCATTGTGTATACGATGAAAAGAAGTGGTATCAACCATTATTAATAGTGGGAACGGGAATGGGTGGGGGTATGTACAGGTTGCCGCGTGGAGTAGACGGCAGTATCTAAGACTTGTGCTATAGACGGAATGGAAGATGTGGTCAGTAAAATAACAGCATACATCGCACGAGCGATGACTTGCAGATTGCTTTGTCCATAGTGGAGGCTCGTAAGAGTCAAAAGTCGAAAGTCAAAAGTCAAAAGTCAAAGGTCAATTTAACCCAATTAGGTTTCACAATTGTGGAAAAGTGAAAACGGAAGAAAGGTAGGTGTGTTGATGAGAAAGAGGAGAAACGCCGACTGGGACGTTTTCTACCAAGTTCTGGACGCTATTGCAGCCAGATGCATCCAGCTCCGGCTGTAATTGCAGTCAGATACGTGCAGGAAAGTGCTAGTGTGAGCGAATAATGTCCTGAGATGCAGATTCAGTCATTGGCATCTTTTATGTATGTCAGTTTGCTGTTCAAGTTTTTTTCTTTTTTCTTTTTTTTTATGTTTTTAACTTTCTATGCCTCTTTTTTCCCAAGCGCTTTTGTCTTTCCACGCCCGTGTTTTTTTTTTTTGAGATGAATCATGGATGACAAGTGTTTGGCTTGTTGTCGGTACCCCCTGAAAGAGGGAAGTAAAGTACACATGAGCAGATTCGTCGTGATTCACTGCTTCCAGACATATGGCAGGCAACTTTATGACAATCAGTTTATCAAACTGTCCGGCGACCGCTTTCC